CCCCAAAACCCCAAAACCCCAAAACCCCAAAACCCCAAAACCCCGGGGCAAGATCATTTCATTGCTATATATTATATTTTTATAAATGGGAGACTGCCAAAGCTGCTGAAGTAAACCAAAGACTACTGTGGACTTCGCAGAGTAAGAGAGAATTCAATAGTGTATAGAGTTAGAGCTGAGTATAAGAGAATTAGAGAAAAAGTGTCATCCCACAAAACAGCCCTGAAAATCTACACAAAGCATAACAATTGGAACTTTAAATAAAAGAATATTCCAGATTTATGACTCTCTGGTTTCTTTGGAGACTAGATTAGACGCTGTAGATCCTGATAAATTAGGAATAGAAGGTATCTTTAAACTTTGTTTGCAGATGGCTACACATATTGTCAGCCTAAACCCTATCTCCCATCCTACTTCTTTTGCTATAGACTCCAATACCAATTGCATAAAACAGTACAATAGACTTGACGATAAGCTTGGATTTCTTATTGGATACACACATGAGATACTCCTGAAGGCCGGGCAACAAAATATGATAGACCTGGATAGCTCAGGTAATTTCTATTTTCTGGTATTTATTCACTGAATCAAAATCTTTGTTGAGGTATTCCAACTAAAAATTTATTGACCAATTACACAAGAATATACCCAAGCGATATGTCCTTTATACATCTCTTGCACTTGGATCGAGTTTCCAATCAAGAGATTAAATGTTCAACTCCGAATATATTTGCTATCTACTTTACAGAGCTTTACCCTCTCAGAGAAGCATTGAGACTAACTAAACCAAGTGTTTAATCCGCATGAAAATAAATTAGTTTCTCACTTTTGTGATAAAAGGTTCTAACCTTATAAAAATGTGTTCTTGAAGTTCAAGGTTTTCTCCCTCTGAAAGCTAACTTAAGGCTAATAGCTAATACTATTTTAGGGAAGTCGAATAAAGATAAACAAAAAGCTAAAATTTGATTAGAGAAGAATATCCACCAGCAATCTAAAGAGATTGATGTAGGAGTTCTGCTCTCTTTGGAGGACAAAATTCTCCCTCAAAGGTTCAAAATATTCAGCGTTGAATTTCCCTCTCTAGATCTGAAAAATGATGAGCATATCAAATTGTTGAAGAATCTGAAGTCTCTAGCTATTCCCAATTTAAATCGCTTATGTGTAATAAATATAAGTTCACAAACCCTCCCTGCTCTAACAAGTTTATTCGAAACTTCATTCTTAAAGAGATTTGGAGTATTATCTCTGAGGTTTGCTAAAGAAATCCCAGCCAATGCGAATAGACTTTTCAAAAATGTTTTGGATACCAGCTACCAAGTAAAATCTTGAGTCTGCATCCAGGGTTTAACTATCAAGCAGTCTTTATTGATGAAGATCCTTTCTTCATGTAAGGATAAGTCGAGGATAATTTTACGTAAATGCAAGATATCTGTTGAAAAAGTCCCTGACTTTGGCCAATCTATGAATGATAGTATATAATCAGAGTAATAGAATTTCCATTTTGAAAAATAACTGGGACATCTGGAGAGCCAGACTCTATGGAAGGCTTCTCAAATTTAATAGAAGGACTTTCGGAGTCACAGGATTTCAGAGATGCTTTCAAAGGTGTGAAGGGCTTCGATTCTTATGATCAAAAGAAAGCAAGAAAAATATTAAAACAACATAGATTTGGCCATATTAAAGTTATGAATTTATAAAATCAGAGGTTTAGTTATTCAACCTGAATATACATAGTGGGGTTTTGGGGTTTTGGGGTTTTGGGGTTTTGGGGTTTTGGGGTTTTGGGG